AAAATAAATTTTTAATTTTTAATTTTTAAATTAAACTTTAATAAAATAATTTATAATTTAAAATTAACATTCACCTTATTTAAAATTAAAAATTAACATTCACCTTAATTTAATTTGTCCATACTCGTTTTCTGATAGGAGAATGTAGTTAAAGTGTCAAAATCAAACTCATAAATCGTATTTTATTTGATGGTCAATGACGCCCTGCGCGGCAGTAACAGCGCGAGTTTTTCGTTTTAGACTTCGCTCTCTCAGAATTCCTTCCTCTCGAAGACTTCTAAATAAAAACGTAGAGATGATGTGATCGTGAGATGATTGCGCAATTCTTTGAAGAAATTAAGAAACCGACAGTTTTTAGGTTTACGATAACTCATTTAAAATAACAGTGGCGTGAAAAACCCATTCAGCGAGTGTTTCTTGCAGGGTGCCAGTGGCGAACTGTCCCAGGCACTGCCCAGAACTTTTATGATAGACTGGCGTTCTAATCAATGATTCCTTTAGTGAGAATCCAAGAAAGTACTTAGTAGATAAAGAAGCAAAAATTAAAAAAAAATAAAAAGGAAGAAGCAAGCATCTTCGCTTCTTTCCAGGATAAAAAGTAAAAATTAGGGCTGAGATATGAACAAGTGGATGCCCAGTGTGTCTGTTTAATTTTATTTAATAGTAATAAGTGATTTACAGTCAAGAATAAAATGAAGCTGTGGCTTTTTCTTTTTCTTTTTTTTTAAACATGAAAAATTTTAAGAATTAGGGACAATTTAGTTAATATTATAGCACAGATAAAACTCTACATTTATATCGAGAATTGGATGCACCTTTAACCAGGTAAAGCTGCAGATGCGTGCTGGATATGTTGTTTAACCCTTTTTCAGTATTACGTTCCACCGGTCTCTTCACATGCCTTACGAACCTAATTTTCTCTCAAAAAGTCGGCATCCGTCCATCTCCTTCTCCCACCCACACCCCTCTCTCTCTTTCGCATCCTCTCCTTATGTTATTCTTTCATCTCTGTACTTAATTTCCAAGAAATATCTCTCCAAAAATTTATTTTACGAGTCAACAATTAAATTAAATTTAGTAGGAATTTTTTTTATTAAAAATAAAAAAGTTTAAATTT